AAAAAAAAAAAAAAATTATTACTCTTCCTGTCTCATTAGTTCACAGGATTACATACTAAATGTTCCAGTGTGACAACCCCCCACAAAATGAACTTTTTTGCATTTATTTATATATAAGCTTCTCTGTATTTAAGGAGTTACACACAAAAGGCATAGAAAAATGGCAATGAGATGACTTTCCTCAAAAACACTTCACACAAATTAAATAGCTGATTGACAGATATTCCGAGACAGTCATGGTAGCCCACACTTATCATCCTAGCACTTAGGAGGCTTAGGCAAGAGGATCACTTCAAGATTAAGGCCCAGTCTACATACTAATACTGAGTTCAATGTTAGCTTGAACTATATAGGGAGATTCTGCCTTAAAAAGTTAAAAACAAGACTGGGCATAGTGGCACACACCTGTAATCCCAGCTCTTGGGATGCTGTAAACAAGTGGATCACTACAAGTATGAATTAGTAGTGAGACCCTGAATACCCTGTAGACCCTTCCCTAAAAAAATACAAAAAAAAAAAAAAAAAAAAAGAGGGGGCTGGGGAGTTAGCTCAGTGGCATAAGCACTTGCCTGGCAAGTGTAAGACCCTAAAAAAAAAAGGTTAACAAGCTGGGCATGGCAGTGCAACACTTATAATCCCAGCACTCAGGAGGCTGAGGCAGGAGGATCATTGTGAGCCTGAGATCAGTCTGGGCTATAAAGTGAGTTCAAGGTCAGTCTGAACTGCATAAGAAAGAACCTGCATCAAAAAGACCAAAAAAATAAATAAACAAACAACTAAATAAAAATAAACAAATGGCTAGGACACAAGAACAGGAGGGGCCAGGGATGTAGCTCCTTGCCAAAGCGCCTACCTGGCAAGTGCAAGGTCCTGAATATGATTCCCGGTACTAAAAAGAAAAAAATATCTGGGCCAGGAATATAACTCAGTGGTACAGCACGTGCCTGACAAGTAAAGGTCACGAGTTTGAGTCCCAAGAACACACACACACAAAAAAAGAACAAGAAAATGTCAATTTAGTTTCACACTGTCCTTTGAAAGGAATTATATTGCCTCAAATTTGCTAAATACAAGCAACTTTACTGTTTCAAACTCACGTTTCAACAATTCATTGATTAATCTGTGGGTTAATCATCCTGTATCTTAAATAAACTAGCACCAACTTTATCACTTTATTGGTGGTTTAAAGAGTTAATGAAAGGGGCCGGGGAGAAAGCTCAGTGGAGTAAGTGCTTGCCTGGCAAACACAAGGGCCTGAATTCAATCTCCAGTTCCGCCAAAAAAAAAAGTTATGAAGTCAGCCAAACATGTTGGTACACATCTGTAAGCCCAGTGTTCAGGAGGAGGAAGCAAGAAGATCACAAAGTTTGAGCCTAACCTGATACAGGTCCTACCCCCAGGGCACAAGATTAAGACTGGATGCAGTGGCAAGCACGGTGGTACAACGCCTGTAATCCCAGCACTTGGGAAGCTGAAAACATGAGGATCACTACAAGTCTGATCTGTGTAGTAAGACCCTGTAGATCCTGCACTAAATACAAAAATAAATAAATAAATAAACTGATGCTGAGCCACATGGGCGTAGTGTTGCACACCTAAAATCCCAGCATTCAGGAGGCTAAGGCAGGAGGACTACTGCAAGTTTGAGACCAGGCTAGGCTACAAAATGTGGTCAAAGCAAGCCTGAACTGGATAGTGAGACCCTGCCTGAAAAACAACAACAAATAAATAAAATTATACTTCCCAGAAAGCAGAAGAAATAAAAAAGACAGAGAGAGAGAGACAGAGACAGAGACAGAGAGAGACAGAGACACAGAGAGACACAGACACTGGGAATGTAGCTTAGTGTGAAGGCCTTCGATTCAATCTCAAGTATCACAAATAAATAATAAACAAACCAGGCATCAGCACTCAGGAGGCTGAGGCAGAAGGATCACTGAGTCTAGCTCAGGCTAAAAAACAAGCTCAATGGGGCTGGTGAGATGGCTCAGTGGTCTAAAGCA